TTTTAAATTTCTCCTCTTACAAAGGATTTATCATAAAATAATCATTTCCTTCTTGCAAATATCATTACAGTTCAAAGGAGGTAGAAATGGCAACGTTTTAAGAGCCTCAATACCACTATGATGCCTTCAGGATTTCATTTTATCCAGAGGTGAGAGTAATCAGACAGTACTCTTACCTGCCTGCACATGTACATACCTGTGTGCCCAGGATGGCCACTCACCCAAGCTCTCTCTGCCTCTCCACCTTCTTTCTTTCCTTTTCGGGAGCTTTCCAGTCAAACCTAGCACCGAACTTGCTTTCTCTAATGCATTCCCTCTCTACCACTTTTCCACCCACTCCAGGCAGCCATGTAACTTGGAAGTGTTTATTTTCATCATCTGTGCCTGAGTGTGACTGTATGCATGCAGAACCAGCCTTGTGTTGAAAGCCAGGGCTCCCCCACTTTCCCACCCTCACAGTCCCCTCTATAAACCAGATGAGAGTTCTTAAAAGTCCTAACCCCTTCCTTCCCCTTCTCCACACTCCATCTTAAACCATCCCCACCCACGGCTTCCCTGAAATGCCTTTGGAATCATTATTAAGGTATCTTCCACAGAAAGCAGTATTGAAAAACAGAAAGTCCCCTTCTGTAGGTGTTCCCACTCCAACCTACTTCTCGTCTACTGAGTACACTCTCCTCCACTCCCACCACTTCAGCTACAACCATCAGCTCTCAATAGGAGAAGGGTACCAAGTATTTTCCTCTTGCAGCACTCAGAATTACTCTGCACTGAGATCTATCCATATCCTGAAGGCTCTCCCTATCTGATGGTGAGCTCTGAGGCATTGAACTACATTTTATTTGTATCTTTAGCACATAGTAGATTCGCAGTGTTTGTTTAAAAAAAAAAAAAAAAGTTGGGAGGGGGGATGCAGGCACAGTGGCTCACACCTGTAATCCCAGCACTTTGGAAGGCAGAGGGGGGAGTACTGCTTGATGCCAGAAGTTTGAGACCAGCCTGGGCAACACAGTGATACTCCATCTCTAAAAATAAAAATTAAAAATTAGCCAGGCATGAGCATCTGTAATCCCAGCTACTTGGAAGGCTGAGGTGGGAGGATCACCTGAGCCCAGGAGTTTGAGGCTGCAGCGAACAATGATTGCACCACTGTACTCCAACCTAGGTAAAAGAGCACAACCCTGTCTCTTTAAAAAAAATAAAAAATTAAAAAATTTAAAAAAAAAGGCCAGGCATGGTGGCTCACGCCTGTAATCCCAGCACTTTGGGAGGCCGAGGCAGAAGAATCACCTGAGGTCGGGAGTTCGAGACCAGCCTGACCAACATGGAAAAACCCTGTCTACTAAAAATACAAAATTAGCCAGGTATGGTGGCATATGCCTGTAATCCCAGCTATTCAGGAGGCTGAGGCAGGAGAATTGCTTGAACCCAGGAGGCAGAGGTTGTGGTGAGCCGAGATCATGCCGCTGCACTCCAGCCTGGGCAACAAGAGCAAAACTCTGTCTCAAAAAAAAAAAAAAAAAGAAAAAGAAGAAAGTGGCAGTGATGGAAGAACCTCTCTTCCAAGCCTCAACCTCTCTCCTTAGCATCAAATACATTTCCAATTATCTATCAGCCACCTCTGCACCCCATCATGGGCACCTCAGAAAACTCCAGTTCTCCATGGCCAAAAACAAACTAATTATTCCCCTACACCAAAATCTTCTGATTTCTGATGATGTCAGCCACATCAATTTGGCTTCCCAAAGCAGAAACATCAATGTAATCTTCAATCACATGCGACTAATTAACAAGACCTATGGTACATTTTACCCCAACATCTGTTCCCTCCTCTCCCATTCTCACTGCCCATGTCTGTGGTCAGACCTAATCTCTAAAATGGTCTCCCAAACTTCCGGTCTCTCTTCCACACAACTACAGGGATCTTCCTAAAACACAGTGATCAAGCCACAGGCTTCCTTGTAAACCTCAGACGTCTCTCCCACTGCCTAAAGGATAAAAGTCCCAACTCCTCACATGGCATTCATGGCCTTTCTGGATCTGGCCCTGATTATAGCACCCTCACCAGCCCCTCATCCTCTCCATGTATTTTTCACCCTAACCAGACCAAACTCAACATGCAGCTTCCTTTGGCTGGAATCCTTCACCCCAAGGCCACCAAGGGCCCATTTTCAATCTTTTTTTGTTTTTTTTTTTTTTTGGAAACCAAGTCTCGCTCCCAAAGTGCTGGCATTACAGGCGTGAACCACCGTGCCCGGCCCATTTTCAATCTTCAAAGCCCAACTCTCATGCAATTTTTGTTAAGCCTTCCTCAATTAATACCCAGTCTGTTATGTTTATTTTCTTTATAATGGCTACCTTCTAAAATGGGGTTGAAGCAGCTTATGAATTATACACACACTTCAACTGGTTGTTTTTTTTTTTTTTTTTTTTTTTTTTGAGAGAGATTGAGAAGAGACTATCAGGGCAAAGATAAGACAAAGTCAAAAGAGATCAAAGCTAGGTGGTAAAGGAGCATTCAAAACCTGTGTCATGGCCGGGCGCAGTGGCTCACACTTATAATCCTAATCCCTTGGGAGGCCAAGGTGGGCGGATCACCTGAGGTCAGGAGTTCAAGACCAGCCTGGCCAACATGGTGAAACCCCATCCCTACTAAAACTACAAAAATTAGCTGGGTGTGGTGATGGGCGCCTGTAATCTCAGCTACTCGGGAGGCTGAGACAAAAGACTCACTTGAACCCAAGAGGTGGAGACTGCAGTGAGCTGAGATCATGCCACTGCACTCCAGCCTGGATGACAGAGCGAGACTCTGTCTCAAAAAACAAACAAACAAACAAACAAACCCCACAAAACAAAAACCTGTGTCATAATGTCTCATACTTATCTTGTTAGATATAGATTGGCCCTGAGTTCCCACTGGCTCAGAATGAGTTACTCTTCTATGAGCTCGCTGCCAGTTGTACATGACTGTACTGTAACACTTCCCATATTTTTTTTTTCAATTTGCTCTTTGCGTCCATCTCCCACACTGGACTGGGAAATTCCTAGGGAATACATAATTTCTGACTCATCGCTGTATCCCCAGAATGTAACATATGACTCAGCACGCGACTGGTGCTCAGCAGACATTTGTTGAATGGATGTTACCACGGACAGGGAAAAGCGGCACTAGTGCTTGTTGAACTGCACGCCAGGTATGTGAAAAAACATTATTTTATCCTCACAAAAAAATGTACAAAGCTAAGAAATGGCAGAGCTAGGATTCAAACCCCAAACACTCTCTCTCTCCAAAGCAATTGCTCTTCCAACTATGCATGGTGTTCCCTACCTTCACCATCGCTACATACCCACCTACTCTCTGCTTCAATGCCTGGTTAAAAACAAAACACCCTTCTCCCAGAATTCTTTCCTACTCACTCAGGACAGGAGTGCCTGAGTCCAGCCCTTGATCTTCCACAATACGTTAAGTAACAAATCATCACAAACCGGGAGAGGAGAGGGTGCCCTCTTGGTAGCTGAGAACTGAACAGCCTCTTGGGTATTCTGCAGATGGTGGGGTGAAGTCCTCAGCTCCTCCTTCTCCTGCCTTTCCCCACAGGTGCAGTGCCTGGGCCCTTCCTGCCTCACTTCCTTCTTTAGGATCCAAAGCCTTTTTAGTCCTCCCCATTCTAAACTGAAACCCAAAATAATCTCCTCAGGCCCATTACTTCTCTAACCCAATGAATGGTGTTGAAAATGCTCTCCTCCATTATACCAGTGAGATTTTTGTATTTTAAGCATCTCATCAAGCATTAGGGCTGGCAAGCATCCCCATGCCCTGAAACACAAGAATTCTGTGAGAAGGGATAATGGCATGTTAGGAGGCCCAACCACCCCACCCTCCATCAATCTGAATATTTTTGGCCTTGCCTGGGAGTAAAAAGAGACATCCTATAACATCCCTCCCCACCTCCTGACCCAGCAGCCTTCGTCCCTGATCCCGGGTCTCCAAGGGAGGGCTGAAATCTGGCCCAGCAATCCTGGTCCAGAATTCTGCAGGAGAGGGATGGTGAACCCTGGTACCTTCCTCTACATCTTCTTCCAGGACTTTAGAATCCTTCTTCTCCCCCCTAGTCCATCCCATGTCTCTCTCTGGCCCCAGACTTCCACAGCCGTCCTCAATCCTAACTCATAAACTATGTTTTTGAATTAGTATTCAGCAATTTCCTTGGAATACAACCATCTTCTCTGACATGCTGAAAGGCACACTCTCTGGCCTTGATATTATCCTACCTCCAGTTTTAAATGTATGACAAATATATCCCTGCATCCTACAACTACTGTCCTCAATATTGCAGGAACGTCTGTAATCTTAAATGTTATCACACCTAATACCCAATCTCCTGAATCGGAATAGGGAGACTAAATTTTTCACTGTTTAGTATTCCTAAATAAAGATTATTCATGCAATTTACAGTAACTACCTCACAGCGCCAGTGTGATGATTCAATGATAATTCATGCCAACTGTTCAGTACCTTGGGCCTGGTACATAGAAAGTGCTCAAAACGTAGCTGTTATCATTTATATACATTATCTTTCACAATAGCACCTGAGGGTAGATATAATATCACTCCCCCCACCCGACCCCCACCTCTAATTTACAGAAACAGTAGCCCCGGCTCTGAGTAAAGGAGCTTTCCCAAGGTCAGTCGAGCAAGGATGTGATGCTTGGCCTTCACCCTGCAAGTGAGGGACCCCTCCCGTTACACTCTGGACGGGCGGAGCACTGGGGGTCTTAAAGGAGCCAAGTATGGAAAAGCGCCGAGCACAGTGATCAGCACACAGTGGGGACGCCGGGATGGGAAGACCGCGGTATTGCGGGTCATCTGGATTCCCCCCAAAGAGCTCCCCCAGCCCGGGAGTCCAGAGCCCACCCCACTCCCTGCCATGGGCGCGCCACTGAGTCCCCCGGAGGCCCGCGCCCCGGGGCTTTGTAGGCAGCAGGCCGGCCCTACTCACCGAGTCCCATCGCGGCGCGCGGAGGCGGCCGCCTGGCGCCCAGCCTGCAAGGCAGGGGTCGCAGCGGCTCGGCCCGAAAACTCGCCATGCCGGCCCCCGGCCCCTGCACGCCAGTCCCGCGCCCACCACCCGCGCCCCCGCCCCGCTGCTGCCCGCCTGGAAGGGGAGCCTCCTACCTGCAGCGGCGGCGCGGCGGCCGCGGCGACCGGGGGAGGGGCCGGCGAGGCGCGAGCGCGGCCGGCCTGGGCTCCTCTGGCAAGCAGGGCGGCCAGGAGGGCCGCGGGCTCCCGAGCGCCGGGCGGCGGCGGCGCGCCCCCGGCCGGCCTGGCCCCGCCGCGCGCGCGGCGGCCACAAAGCCCGGACGCCGCCGCCCCCTCGCGGACCACCCGCCGCTTGCCGGTCCGTAGGCGCCGCCGAGGACGGCGGGAGCGCGGCCCCGCGCCAGTCCCCACGTCCCCGAGCTGCGGCCGCCGGCCTCCCGCGGACTGGGGCGGGGCGCAGGGTGCCCCCCGCCCACCTGCCCGTCCGCACCGACCCTGCTCCTGACATCCTCGGGCTGAAGTCCCCGTACTGATTTAGTTGCCTTTTTCCCCCACCTTTGCAGAGGCGCTCCTGAAGGGGCCCGAAAAACTGTTTTATTTCTATTAACAACAGAAGAATACATTTGTCACACGGGATTCGGCGGCCATGGACACGAGTTAGTTCAGTCCAGGTCCCCCGACTGAAATAGGCCCTTTTCTTTTAGGGCTCCTTGATACTTGGGACAGCCAATCCCCCTATGCTGAGTTTATCACAGACTTCTGTTAATTTGCGGAATGTGCCTCCCCCAGGACAGCGACTGTGCTCACTGGAGCCCAGGACCTGTCTTGGACACTGTGCTGACTCAGTTGGAATTAATGCGTGTGTAAATGCATGCACAACAGCTCAAACTGTCGGGACAAGCCACCCTTTGCCCCTTCCGCAAACAGAGTTGGCTGAATGTTTCTTTTGCCCTGGATCCAATGGGACGATTCCAAGCCCAGAGAAAGGCAGAGAGGGCTTTTTAACTTTTTTTTTTTTGAGGTGAAATTCACAAGACATAAACCATTTAAAAGCGAACGATTCAGTGGCATTTATTACATTCATAATGTTGAGCAACCGCTACTTCTATCTAGTTCTGAAACATGGATCACTCCATTAAGCAGTAATTCCCCAGTCCCTCCTTCCTCCAGACCCTGGCAACCACTCAGCTATTTTCTGTCTCTGTGAGTTTACTTTTTCTGGATATTTCATATAAATGGAACCATACAATATGCGGCCTTTTGTGTCGTTTCTTTGACTTAGCCTGTATTTAAGATTCACCCATGTTGAGGCGTGCATCAGTACTTCATTCGTTTTTATGACTGATTAATATCCCATTGTATGTGTATATTAAAATTTGTTTATTCATTCATCCCTTGATAGATATTTGGGTTATTTCCACCTTTTGGCCATTGTGATTAGTGCTGCTCTGAACATGCCTGTACACATATTTCAGTACCTGTTCCCAGTTCTTTTGGATATGTACCTAGGAGTGGACTTTCTAGGTCATAGGGTAATTCTATGTTTAACTTTTCCAGGAACTGCCAAAAAGTTTTCCACAGCAGCTGAATGAATCATTTTACATTTCCACCAGCAATGTTTGAGGGTTCCAAGTTTCCACAACCTTGCCAACACTTGCAGTTTTCCGTTTTTGTGTTTTAATTCCTTGAACATTTTTGAGACTGTTGCTTGCCCTCCCAACTCCCACTATCCATAGCCCTAAAATAAAAGCTGATCTAGGTCTTCACTATGTTCAAAGAATCACGCAACCCTTTCTTCCCTCAAAAAACAAACCGGGACAGAAACGCCAATAAAAATAAAGACCTTAAACTAAGAGCTATACTGGTCCTCATTCTTTATTTCTTTTCTTTTCTTTCTTTTTTTTTTTTTTTTTTTTTTTTTTTTTTTTTTTTTTTGAGACAGAGTCGCACTCTCACCCAGGCTGGAGTGCAATGGTGCAATCTCGGCTCACTGCAACCTCTGCCTCCTGGGTTCAAGCAATTCTCCTGCCTCAGCCTCCTGAGTAGATGGGACTATAGGCATGTGCCACGACGCCCAGATAACTTTTGTAATTTTAGTAGAGACAAGGTTTCGCCATGTTGGCCAGGCTGGTCTCGAACTCCTGACCTCAAGTAGTGCACCCACCTCAGCCTCCCAAAGTGCTGGGATTACAGATGTCTTCATTCATTATTTTAATAATAATTTGTCTGATGTCCAGGAGGCCTTGAAATTGTCCAGAGAGCCTGGAAACTAAAATTATGCCAGGGGAGTTGCTACAACGTACTAGCAAACAAACTGTGATACCACACTGAAAGCCAAGGCTGTGCATCATTTCCACTTGTTTTCCACTTAGTGCCATGTTATAAGTCTATGAAGATTCCCATCTTAAATGCAGATACAGTCAAGGGAAAACTATTGGAGTGTGAAATTAGAAGGTCAATTCAGATTGGAAATTTGATTGATAAAGTGATACAGTGTGGAAAAAGCACTAGATAAACGTGAACTAAGCTCCTGAATCTCAGTTTTCTCATTTCTAGGATGGGAATATGATGCCTACCTGCCTGGGTAGATAAAAGCTTCTAGTCTTAACTTCAACAAATGGTCAGTGTTATTTTATGGATTTAAATAACGATGATTGTGGCACATGCCTGTAATCCCAGCACTTTGGGGGGCTGAAGCATGTGGATAGCTTGAGCCTAGGAGTTGAAGACCAGCCTGGGCAATGTGGCAAAACCCCATCTCTACCAAAAATACAAAAATTAGCCAGTCTCATAACCTGGTCTCAAAATAAATAAATAGATAAAAATTTAAAAATAAAAAATTTAATGCTGTAATAAATAAGTAAATAATGGTGATTGACATAAGCCACATGTACAAGTGCTGCTAAGGAGACGTGGGAAACTCGTATTTAGTCATGCGTCTCCCCTCAAATTAAGAGAGCAGACTATCTTAAAAACTAATGTGGCAGGGTAACTACTCAGGCCTTCAATGTGGTGGCTGCCTTCCCAGCTCTCTCCTTGATCCCTGACTTAGTTCTGCATGCTACCTTGGACAACTTTCTTCCTCCTCCTCCTACTCCTCCTACTCCTCCTCCTCCTCCTCCTCCTCCTCTTCTTCTTCACTTTAGATCACTTACATCAAATTAAATAGGTTTCTTGAAAACACATAGAAAACAATAAATGTGAGCTATTTTATCAATAATAAAGCAATTATAGTTTCTTTGTAGAAAGTGTTAACAAGGTCAGCGTCTACACAGAGTCTAGGAAAAGAAAACCACAAAGAACTCATCCATGTGACTTGTCCCTTTTTTAAATGCTGGAGGGTCCCTTCTGGGGATCCCGCGATGGAGATGAGTGATGCATTGCACTCCACAGGTTGCTGAGACTAACTCTACATATGGTATCTTTTTTGCTAGGATCCAGGCTCACCAAACAGTCTTGATATAGCAGTTGATTTCAACGACTTTTTTTTTTTTTTTCCTTTTTTATTCCTTTTAGAGACAGGGTCTTGCTCTGTCACCAAGGTCAGAATGCAGGTTGTGATCATAGCTCACTGCAGCCTCAAATTCCTGGGTTCAAGCGATCCTCCCACCTCAGCCTCCCTAGTAGCTGACACTACAGGAGCATATCACCATGCCCAACTCATTTTTTAAATTTTTGTTTTTGTAGAGAGGGGGGTTTTTTGTTGTCCAGGCTGGTCTTGAACTCCTAAGCTTCAAGTAATCCTCCTACCTTGGGCTTCCAAAGTGCTGAAATTACAGGCATGAGCCACTGCACCCAGCCTGGTTTCAACAAAATTTGCCCTGCCTTGCCTTGCCTTGCCTTGCCCTGCCTTGCCCTGCCTTGCCCTGCCTTGCCCTGCCTTGCCCTGCCTTGCCCTGCCCTGCCCTGCCCTGCCCTGCCTTGCCTTTTTTTCTTTTCTTTTCTCAAGACAGAGTCTTGCTCTGTCACCCAGGCTAGAGTGCAATGGTGTGATCTCAGCTCACCGCAACCTCTGCCTCCTGGTTTTAAGCAATTCTCCTGCCTCAGCCTCCTGAGTAGCTGGGATTACAGGCCACCACACCCAGCTAATTTTTTGTACTTTTAGTAGAGACGGGGTTTCACCATGTTGCCCAGGCTGGTCTTGAATTCCTGACCTCATGATCTGCCCGCCTTGGCCTCCCAATGTGCTGGGATTACGGGCGTGAGCCAACGCACCCTGCAGGACAAAATTTTCTTAAATGAGGGAAGATGCCCTGAACATCCAACTCCAAATACTTTATAGTTCTGTGATGAAAGTACAGATCTCTTTGAAAATTAATCCATTGGTGTTTAGCTTATCTATCTGTCTGTTATGATTTTAACTGGCAAATCCAGTCTCCCCAAAGTCTAATTATGTATGGATATTAGAGGCTTTTTTCATCAGGCTCTTTTGGTGGCAAGGAACAGAGACTCATCCAAACTTGCTACAGGAGAAGGCTGTTTATTGAATCTTAGGTGTTGAAAGATAGGAACCCAAATTGAGAAGGACTTTAAGGAACTTAAAAGCCACTGAGGGCTTCGTGCAGTGGCTTACGCCTGTAATCCCCACACTTTGGGAGGCAGAGGCAGGTGGATCTCTTGACCCCAGGAGTTTGAGACCAGACTGGGCAACATAGCAAAATCCCGTCTCGACAAAAAATACAAAAATGAGCTAGGCGTGGTGGGAGGCTGAGGTGGGAGGCTGAGTTGGGAGGATCATCTGAGCCCAGGGAGGTGGAGACTGCAGTTAACTGTGATTGTGCCACAGTACTTCAGCCTGGGCCACAGAAACAGGCCCTTTTTCAAAAAGAAAAAGAAAAAAAAGCTACTGGAAACAGATTTTCCTCTCTCTCTCATTTGAAGTTAGTGTGTCTTTCTACGTCTCTGCCTCTCTCCAACTTTCTTTTTATCTCAGTTTTTTTTTTTAGATGGAGTCTCACTATTTTGCCCAGGCTGGAGTGCAGTGGCATGGTCTCGACTCACTGCAACCTCCGCTCCCAGGTTCAAGCCATTCTCCTTCCTCAGCCTCCCAAGTAGCTGGGACTATGGGCATGTGCCACCATGCCCAGA